TGGGAGGGAGTGATAAGCGATAATAAAAAACGGCATTTTACTCTAATATATAACTTGTTTTTTTAATGAAAACTTCAGATTGGATGAACATTGCTCGTTGCGAGGTTGCCGTTGCTACCTACCTCACCGCCGCTACTCTGGTGGTGGACCTTGTCATCATGCTGCGTCGCAGTAATAAAGCAAAATGGCTGTTGATTCCGGGGATTCTGTGCTTTCATGCAGGTAGTGTCCTTTAGTGTCTTTTTTCAAAAGCTGAAATGTCTTTCTAAATGCTTGTATATTAACACAACGAGACTGTATTATCGGCAAATGTGCTCATATTCTCCAAATCGAACATTACAGTGATTAATTTCTGAACGGAAAAGTTCAGTCTCCATTTCATTTCCGAATTGAATTTTGATTTCTGAAACACATAATATATCATTGGTTGCCATGTAACGTGTGTTTTACATTTTTGCATCATCTTTTGTCTTAGTTTGGCTCCAATGGCGTGGCAGCAGGGACAGTCACTCAAAGTGTGTCCTACTGACACTAGATTTGATTATATTATGCTTAACTAACACGCCGTAGATTTGTTTATGTCTGTGCACTTGACTAACATCCCGTAGATTTGTTTATGCTTTTGTACTTAATCAACAGCCGTAGATTTGTTGGTGCACTTAATTAACAGCCGTTGATTTGTTTGTGCACATAATTAACATGCCGCAGGTTTGCATAATATGTACTTAACTAACATGCAGAAATCAATAACAGGTCGGATACTTAACGTCATGTGCAAACACCTACACCCCCCCCCCTACTCAAATGTCATGTCAGGAGACCAATTCCCTAACCTGTGAATTCCAACTGTTCTTTGCTTTGTTCAGATTGAACCAAAGTCGTATCATTCTATTTGTTCTCTTAAATTTGGGATATACACAGATAGGTTTTTTGAAAAATGGTCAATATCATATTATTTGTAGGACTCCGTAGTGTGTCCATCTTCTAGTTGTTCTCCATGGCGTGTCTTTTTTCCTGTTTTGCACACCATTCTTTTCCGACATCCCGCTCACCGAAGAACTGTTCAAAATGTTGTTGTTCTAATCATGTTGCTTGAATTTGAATAGTCGTCTTTTTCAAATCCACACCCCCCCCCCCCCGCGCAAAAAACTAACAAAAACCTGATTTGAATATTACTATATTAAAAGTTTCTCCATTGCCACTGTGAGTGCCAACAACTGTAATATCGTGACAAAGAATATTTATATCGTTTCTGAATTACCTTTTTGAACTTTTGATTGATAACAAGTTGGCAAACTGGCCTCTGCAGTATAGCGGTTAAGCGCTTCGCCGTTGCACACAGAAACCCTGAGTTTGATTCCAATGTGGGAAAATAAGTATTAAGTATCTCGGTTTTTCTTCTGGGACATTGTATCACTCACAGTCCGTATTGGCCCTGACTGGCAGTGTCAAAGCCGACATTCTAAACGGTCTAAATTGTGTTGATAGGGGCGTAAAACATCTGCATTAAAAAAAAAGCTATAGCACAGTCAAAAATTCGTGGCGCAACTTATTGTCAAATGTTTCATCAACTATCTAACATAACCTCTCCAGCTTTTGCACAATGACTTGTGTCAGTTTGTCTTTACAGATCAATCTTTTTGTAGACACCTGTTAGCTGTACTCTAGACAATTTCTTAAGATAAATACTGATTTTAAAATTCCAATTGGTGGTTTCTACAGAGTTCAAAAGGTTTACAGCTGGGACAATATCATTTTTGAAACCATGTCCATTATTTTTTTTCCAAAATAGCGACATTATGCTTATTGAACGCATGTTTTGATAACTTTTAGTGTAAAAAGGGTTCTCGATCAAATTAATGTCTTGTAACAAGTTTCGTCAGAAAAAAGTGTCATTGGTGAGCTGTAATATAGGCCATATGCGTATGCAAAATGTGTGTGAAAAACGAGAAGTGCTGTGACCAATCCCATGTTCCACGTAACGGAGATTTATAATATTTTGTATGAACTACTGAAGTAAAGTGGTTTTTCTTTTAATTTAAGCTCAATTGTTGTGGAAAATATGATTAAGTTAAGGCAAATTGATACAAACTGCTGTGCAAAGTATGGGTGATATTGTATCACCCGATAAAGTAGATGCAAAGATCGTACATAACCAATAAAAACCAAAATGCACCCCAAGTGAACGTGCACAGAAGGGTGTGTAAGTGTAATAATACGAAACAAAAACACGGGGAACCACCTAGAAATGGAAACGCTACAGAGGACGGACATGTGTCGGAGTCTTACATTACATTTCTTCCCCCATCGACATCATCGACAGAAAAAACCCAAGTGAACCTGTATCCGACAGCCCTAAAAATCCTGTGTAAAATAAATGTCATCGGAATGTATCAAGAAATGAGCCCTGGATCTTCGTAATAGGAGACAAGACTTCTAATCTGAATGCCTCCCTGACACCTAGATCCAGATCTATCCCTTTTCCCCTCATGAGATTACCAATAGGATTAAAACATTTTTTAAAAACAATGTCTCGCCATTTGTCAGGTACAAGTTAAAATTTTCAGTTCGGAAAACGTCATCAGCACGTGACCGAGAATCTACGTGATGTTCTTTTCTCAGGTCTACTTGTATTGGCAGCGGTCTCTATGGTTACCTCGGAAATGAATAACTATACTATCAGGGGCATGGAACTGCAGATGGAGAAGGGGTGGACTTTCGTGATAGCTTGTGTTGCCGGAGTTCTCACGATTGCAACTGGATTGCTGAGCCTTTTCGCGAAGAAGGGAACGTTTCCCGAAAGGTAATTTGTTATAACGGTTGATGATGATGATGATGATGATGATGATGATGATGATGATGATGATGATGATGATGATGATGATGATGATTTGGTCGAAAGGTACATGTTCACATTTTTAATATTTAATGCAATTTTTACATCGTAGCCCCTTTGAAAAGAAGTAGATTTTTAGTAGATCTACAGTTTTCTGATTGTGTCCGTAAAACCCTACCAGACACACGCTGGTTATTTCAAAGGCGGGTAGAAATACTTGTAGCTTTCATTGAATTTAACTATCAAGTGATAAACCAACAAAAAAAGTAATCTTCCATAGAGGTACCTCCTGTGCATACTCGGCTACAGCTGACAATTCCGGTAGTGATTGTTGGCAACACTCTTTTATGTCGACCCTAATGTTTTCCATAATAGTAATAATACATTAGTATCCACACTGACTCACTGACGCCCACGGACGAAATATGTTGGGGGGGGTTTAACTGTTGAAAAGTAAAATTATCTTTTCGCATCTTTTTAAATCTTTTTTTTTTTTTATTCTTAGCTTATTGTTTTTAATTTCAGAGAACCAGCTATCGGCTTTGCTCCTCCAGTCTATGATGGGCCTGCTGCAATTGACCAATATACAGTAACTCCAACTTTAACTCCAACTTAAACAACGACAGAGGGCAGAACTTTAGTTTAAAGAACAGCAGATAAAATTTGCAACAGCAGGAACTGTCATGGTAAATTTGGTGTCGATTGGAGAGACGAAAACGGCGGGCGGCGACAAACAGCAAATTGGCTACTTATCAGTGACGTGAACGGGATATGAATCTATTGTTTCTGGCCAGCTTTAAACAGTAATTACCGACATTCCCAATACACATATAATATTTCTTTCAGAATATATATTTTG